TTTACAATAAGGCTTTCAAATAAGTCATGGTTGTACGGCAGTGAAGCATCGGTGTTGAACACTGATGTCATGCTGTCGATGATGATGATGATGATGGTGATGATGATGATGATGATGATGATGATGATGATGAAGTAGAGACGACCCACAAGCAGCCAGTGCATGACTTACCAACAAGGCATGAAGGCCGTTGCTAGTCAACTCAGTCATGTTAGTAACTGCTGCCTCCCTGGGTGGGATCCTGGGACAAGACATACCGGTGTTTAGTGACCCTAACATAAATGGCCTTGCTTCAAACCTGTCACCTTCACTGTCACTCCCTACCATACCGGACAAACAGAATCTTTTGATGTCAGTGGACTTATTGGTCCATCGCCTGAAATGCGTGGCTCTCATTCACTCATCCTGCTTATCTTCTGTGAACGGGATTGTAGCATCTGGAATTTCTGGACCTTGGTATTCGGTTTATAGCTGAATAACCGACTGACTGAACTTGACCTGACAGGGCGGAAAAGACTCGTCTTGGTAGTCGTTTTTTGCCCACTAAGGATGTCACTCAAACAACTAGGTCGATGTAGTTTGAGGACTTATTCCACTTCCGTGTTCGTCGAATTTCCGTCGTTGTATCAGCGCATCGCTCACACGTTGCCTCCACCAGACAAGCGAGTTGCTTCGTGAACGACAATGGCCGGTTTCAGGCATATATGGAATATCTTGTGCATACGACAGCCAGCCTTTATCTTCATACAGAATTATAGCTCATACCATTAAGTTTGGGCCAGTATTTCACAGTCACCATAGTAATCGCGTATTAATAAACCTCTTCTTTTTCATGGGGTAAGAGGCTATTTCCTCCAGAAGAGATGTCACATCCATGGTGAGCAACGTGACTCATTCATTTGAATCAAGATGAGTGCGTCCACATACCGCTGGTGTACAAGGACATTGCACCCAAGTGGCGAGAAATGCAGGTCATAACTACTGACTTCTGATGTGTATCTGTCGCGTGTGGTTTGAACAGTACTAACATTTTTCCAGTTACATATCTTGGATTTTCAGGAGCACATAGTGAAGCATATGTAGTGGGAATCCAAATTATGTTCAGTTCTACAGAGGATGAGAATCTTAGTCTCGCAAGTAATTCACTTGACCACTACCTCAAACCTCTATTATTAAGGTAGATTGTAGATATTTTGTAGACTGCTAAGAATCATGAAACTTGTCCTGCATGATCCATTTGAAGTAGGCATACATAGTTTTGCTGTGGAGGGACCTTGGGAACAATCAGTCAACATCAAAGCAGTATTTCAATATTACCACCGCATATGTCATGAGTATTAATGTTCGCATACAGGAGCAAGCAGGACAGCCGGTGGCTCTTGTTTGTACACT